TCCCCTCTCCCGAGCTCCAGACCAGTCAATATCTCAAATTGCCTTCTAGGGAAGACCGGAGACCCCTCAAGTACAAAAGGCTCAAATCAAAACCTTTTTCTTAAGCATATTGCTCTGCACATGGCATATAAGTTAAGGAAGTGATTCATGCTGCTGTAAAAAAACTGCAACCCTGTGTTCCTCGTCTCTGTGCTCAGTCTCCATGTGTCATTCTTCCAGCCCCGTTTCTCCCATGAAGCCTGGCTTCCTTCTAGAAGGTATCATACTATCTTATTTTTCCTCTTATTATGTACTTGGCAAACCAAATTATATGTGTTTGTGACTGGATTGCATTCATTAAGTTTTCGAGAGCTAAAAGCTTGTCATTTTCAAAGGGGTGTGTGTGTGTGTGTGTGTGTGTGTGTGTGTGTGTAGGTGTGCATGTGTGTCCAACAGGTGGCACTGTTGAGTAAACACCTTATTTAAATGGGTGGTTTTCTTTCACAATCATAACTATGAAAACACCAAGTTCATGTATCAAGTGTCTCACTTCAGGAATCAAAATTTTGTTTCAGTAATCCACTTGGATCTTTATCTTGGCTTGTTTTAGGTGAGGTAGACAATCTTTTCTAGTCCCTAGCTCAATATTTTAAATAAAATCATTTTTTCAATAGACCACACCATATTGACTTCTCTTCCAAGGAAAAGAAAATTTCAAGATGAGAAAATACAGTCAGCTTTGCCTTTGTAAATGATTTAATCACTGTTCTATGGCTATGATGAAGCACCATAAGCAAGTGCATCTTGGGGGAGAAAAGCATTTATTTCACTCACACTCTCAGGTAACAGTCTACCACTGGGGGAAGTCAGTGCAGGGCAGGAACCTAGAAGCAGGAGCTGATACAGAGGCCATAGAGGGGTGCTGCTTACAGATTGGCTCCTCAGGGCTGGCTTAGCCTGCTTTCTTATAGAACCCAGGACCACCCATTGGCTGGACCCTTCCCCATCAATCACTAAGAAAATGCTGTACAGGCTTGCATACATCTAGATATTATGGAGGTATTTTCTCCATTGAAGTTCTCTCTTCTATAATTCTAGCTACATGTATCAAGATGACAGAAAACTAAACAGCACAGGACTAACTTACTTTTAGCCCAAGATTCTCTCCCTCGTAATCTTCTTGAGTCTTCTGAGATATTGCTCCTCCTCACACTAAGAGCTAAGTGTGCCCAAATGTTATCACTCAGTGATCACACTTAGGAGCTCTGGGCTGAGCAAACCAACCTGCCATCTCAGAACAAATGGGAGCTAACTCTTAAATAAACAGGCATTTCGGGTACTCCCTCAATAAAACACTGGGTTGGCCCTGCTGATAGACATTTGATTCTACAAGGATCCATGCCTTGCACTATCTCTAGGCAATCTTATAAATCTTTATGTAGTAGAAAACCTGTTGGCAATGCAATTATACTTGTTCATAGGTATACAAATTATTTTTTAGTGAAAATAGTACTGACTTGCTTTCTGTATGACTCCAAACTTTGTGTTTTATTGTTCTATAGATATTAGCGAGTTGTAAGTTCACCAACAAATTTAAACATTCAGAATCACTTGCATATGTGTCTAGTCTTCAGTGTTTTCTTTGGAATGGTGGTAAACTCTTAATGGTTTCATCTTTCATTAGCTAAATAAAATCTGTCATGTGTGTTTGTTTTATACTTTGTTATTTTGTCATGATTCTGTCATCTCAAAAGTATAGTTTAACTGCCTGTTGCTCATAAACAAAATATGTTTACATATTCAAAATAAACAAAACACAAACTTTCACCACGAAGAGAGCAATTAGGATAGTTTCATCCTGTAGCACAAGCAAGCCGAGGAACTGGAGCAATGGTTCTCAACCTTCCTAATGCTATGATCCTTTAACACAGTTCCTCCTGTTACAGTGACCCCCAACCATAAAATTATTTTGTTGCTGCTTCATAACTGTAATTTTGTTACTGTTATGAATTATAAATAAATGTTTGATATGCATAATATCTGATATGCAACCACCAAAGGGATCATGGCCCGCGGTTTGAGAACCGTTATACTAGAGTAATATTGAATTGAGAAAATGAATACAATAATAAGAACAGGACAATGAGTTTTAGGATTTGCTCAGTTCTCAAAGTTAAATGCCCCAGAAATTCCAGTGTCTCAAATCACTTCTGAAGACCTGGAAATTCTCTGAAGTGTAGCTGATATTTATTCTTCATAGCAGGTTCAAAGAAATTGGAGCTTATTGTCAGTGTGGAGGATGGTGACAACGGAGATAAATGCACTTGCTGAGGAAGATGTTGTAGCAGGCAGCAGCATTCCTTTTACCCTGAATCTCTTTATATTTGGGCCATCAATTGGAAGGTGCTTCCACTGTTAGGTTTTCTTCATTCGGTTGACCTTCTCAGTAAATACCTATAGATACGCTCTGGGGGGAGGTGTGTCCTGAATAATTCCGAATTCTATCAAGTTGGCAATTAAGATTAATCATCAGAATGTTCTTTGAGATCAGATTTCCTTAACTGGAAAGGTGCTCCAAGAGTATTGGCTCAATTCATGTCTCATTAGACGCATTTCTGGGAGATATCCCATTGGGTTACTACCAGAAAGCCTTGCAAAGCTGAAGTCCACCATATTAAGTATCTTCTTTTGATGATTTCTAAGTCAATTTTAAAGGAAAGATTATTTTAGGGACTTTCCAACCTTCCCTCCTATGAGCAACATGTAAAAAATAACATGACACTTAGAATGACAGGAGACCAACCCATTGCTTCACAACGAGCAAAAGGAGAATTTAAACTGACCCCCAAGATACTGAAGAAGTCTTTGTTATATTCTGATGATTTTTCCAGAAAAATGTCCTTTGTTGAACACAGTTATACATCCTTTAAGACTAGGCCACTCCTCCCTCATCACTCCTAGGCGCTTTCCAACTTTCTTTAGAAACTATCAGATTTTTTATTAGCTTTATGTCACTTGTTTAATGACCTCGTCTTTTCTACTTTTTTACCCCATGTGGCATTTTAACTCTTGAATGGAGTCACTGTGTCATGATTCTGGGTCAAGAGTCAGTCAGCAAATATCATCTTCTTGAGTTAATTCATTCTACTGATGTTTTATATACAAAACTGAAAACTATGGATTTTTCTTTCCACTGAAAACCAAAACCCTTTAGGGGCTCAATAAATGGCTCATCTTTGACTGATCTTTCAGAAAACCATAGCTGAGTGCCAATATAGAGGGGTTCAAAACCCCCAGTAACTAGGCCTAGGGAATATGACTCCCTAATCTAGCCTATCAGGGCACCACACACCTGCACACATGTACACACACACTCAAATAAATAAATAAAATCTTTAAAAAAATCCAAAAGCCAGACAATACACATATCTATAATCCCAGATCCTTCCATAGGCTAAGGGTGGAGAAATGAAAATCCCAAACCAGCCTGGACTACATAGTTAGACTTATCTCCAAATAAAAAAATTAAACAAAAATACCAGTTATGATTTTAAAAATTAGCATTTAAGTACCAATATTCATAAATAAATAAAGTCTATGTGCATAGTCATGCTCATTTGTTTCTGTATCATCTATGGCTGGTTTCATATAGCAGGGATGGTACAGCCAGGAAGTTTCAAACACCATACATTTACTCAGCCTGTCCCTGGAGAGAACAGTCTGAGAATACTTAGTATTGAGGACACACATACTCTCAGCACCTGGAAGTGAGTGAGCACTGTTACCTGTTAGACTAATGCTGAATGAACAAAGACGAATACACGCGAAGAAAGGTTGAGACAATTTATTGAGACACAAATAAATGCATCATAAATTATAAACACACAAATACTTGATCGATGTATACTTATTAAACGGATGAAAGTTGAAACTGTTGGATTGTCCCTTGTGGATTAGGGCCATATGAGCAAAGTCAGTGTGCTGGTTACCTTTGTCATCTTGACACAAAGCGGAGTCCCCAGCGAAGGGAAAGATCAACCGAGATCTTCATCAGGTTGACCTATGGGCACGTCTGTGGTCATTTTCTTGTTTTATGATTGGCGTGAAAAGGACTGGCCCACTGTGGATGGTGCTTCTACTGGGCAGGTGGTCCTGAGTTGTATACAAAAGCGAACTGAGCAAGCCATGGAGAGCAAGTCAGCAAGCATCGCTCCTTCATGGTCTCTGTTTCAGTTCCTGCTGCCAGGTTCCTGCTGGAGGCTCTGCCTTGGCTTCCCTCCATGGTGGCTTTGACCCATAAGCCAAATAAACCTTTTCTTCCTATAGTATTTATCTCAGCAACAGAAGCCACATTAGGACAGTCAGAGCTAGGAATATTATCAAGCACTTATCCAAAAGCCCTGCTGGAAGGAGACCACTGACGGGGTATGTGCGAGCCGTGTGCCTGCTGAGACCTCGTCTTCTTAAATCATTTGCTTGTAGTAACTGCAAGGCTTTGTGCTCACTTACAGGATGTATGTTAACCTGAAGTCATAAACAGGGCCAGGCGTTGTAACCCTCACCCACAGGCCTCAAACCTGGCAGGCAAGACAGGAAGATTTCATGTTCGAGGCCAGGTTGAGCCGAATAGCAAGATGCTATCTCAAAAACCTAAAATAAATAATGAATTAGTCGCCGGGCTGTGGTGGCACACGCCATGAATGCCAGCACTCGGGAGGCAGAGACAGGCAGATCTCTGTGAGTTTGAGGCCGGGCTGGACCAACAGCCTCCAAAACAATACAGAGAAACCCTGTTTCATAAAACCAAAAACTAAAATAATAATAATAATAATAATAATAATGAATTAGTCGTAAAGTTGTGAACGCATGAGTAGTTGGCCTTTCTTCCGTTGTACACAATAAAGAAGATTGCTATATTGGTTCACCCTCATGTTTCTTCTGATTGGTTGTTACTAGCGACGTAAAACAAATGAAGGAGGATTTATTAGTAGCACTGATGAAGATTTGGTGTTGTCTTTCAGAAAGCAAGAACACAGGTTTCCTGTGCCCCCCTCCGGCCTTCCTACTACAAGCAAGGAGTGTGTGGAGACTGCTCAAATATGTCAGAGACTTCCTCCCACGACTCCTTCTACGATTCCTTATCAGACGTGCAGGACGAGGGCAAAAGTGTTGACGTCTTCCCAGGGCTCTCTGCGTTTCTCAGCCAGGAAGAAATAAACAAAAGTCTTGACCTGGCCCGCAGAGCCATAGACAACTCTGAAAGTGAAGATTTTGACTCAGAAAAGGAGATCTCGCAGATTTTCAGCAAATCTCCTGTAAGGCTCTGCGAAACTCCATCCCACCATGATACCAGATCCGGAGAGCAGACTCCCTCAGCAGGACCTCAGCAAAACAGACCAGCACCTGTCCAGCCTCTGGCAGGAGAGCAAGTTGAACCGATCAGCTCCCCGGCCTCAAGGAGGAAACCTGGGTTATCACCCCTGCTGGCCAGACCCAGCTACATCCGGAGCCTCCGCAAGGCTGAAAAACGAGGTGCAAAAATTCCCAGTCCAAGCGCAAAGCCCAAAGCTGCCCAGCAGAGCAAAACCGGCCCCCAGGGCCAACTGTGCGACAAGGCTGCTAGTTTCATCGAGGAACTGACATCCATATTTAGAGAGGCAGCCAAGCCAAGGAACAGAAGCCCAAATGGTGAGTCTTCGTCACCAGACAGTGGGTACCTGTCCCCTAAAAACCAGCCATCAACACTGACAAGTGCTTCAGCCAGCCAGAGCCCCACTGGAGACCAGCTAGAGCAACAGGAGATAGAAGCAGACGTCAAGCTAGCCCAGGGCAGCCTTTGCTACCAGGCCTGCCAGACCCCAGATGAGGCCTTGTCACACACCCACATCCCTCAACCACAGCCACAGAAAGCCCGGCACTTGCCCTCTGCACCTCGGTTCATCCAGAAGCTGAGGAGCCAAGAAGTTGCCGAAGGAAGCCGAGTTTACTTGGAGTGTAGAGTCACAGGAAACCCAACTCCCCGAGTCAGGTAAGAACTCTTTCATTGTGAAGCTCGAGTGATTTGGGTGACTTCCGATGTTACTTCAGGGGGGGAAGAGTTCATGCGTTGCTAGTCTTCCGGATGTTGCCAGAAGCGCCAAATAGCCGGCACCACCAGGTGGCCAAGGTAGGACATATATTGCTGTTGCCATGGGCAAGTCTGTGTGTTCAAAGTAAAGGCAATGGACTTGAAGAGGCTATGAGGTTGTTACATAGGAGTCTAGATTTTGTGGAACCCAGAGGATGTAAGATGTGAAAATGATTTACCCAAAGCATAGAGAAAAATGTGGTTTTTTGATAACAAGTTACCTAAGAAGGTAAAAATTATCCCAAAGCTAGAAGTTACCCAGTAGTTCAGAGATGAAAGTGTACGGAGACCAAGTAGAGATGAACCCCAAATAGGCATCACTCCAAGGCATGAACCAAATTCCCGTATTGACTAAAGACAAACCCAACCCATATTTCCAAAGTGATGCAACAAGAGTAGGCAGAATTTCTATATGGAAGAGCAATAAACCAAGCCCAGGACAAAGCTGAGCTTAGTCCTGGACACCAGAGCAGGGCTCAACCAAAGACGACAGTGAATTGGATGCAGACTTAGGGTCAAAAAAAAAAAAAAACCCACACCATCTCCATTATGACTCCTATAAACTCGTCCTTTTAGATTACAGGATGTATGCCTTCTCCTGTGCAAGAAAAGTTCAGGAGAGGAACTTCGGACCCATGTCGCAGGGCTTACAATCAGAGGTCTTCCTTGGACTCCTGCTGTCCCTTAAATCCGGACACTTGATGGCTGAATTAAGTCATATGTAAAACAATAATGAATTACTGTGGCCTTGCACCTAGTGTCACCCGCTCCGTCTCTTTTTCACATCTCCTTTCTTAATTTCAAGTCAGGATTAGACTACAGAAAGGAGCACTCATTGACTTATTTGAATGTTGTATCCAAACTATATGAATGTGTGAAAGCAAATTCAAACAATTTAACTTAGAAAAACAATGATGAAGACAAAACAGACTTTATACTTTGGGATTTCCGTGTGTGCTCCTCCATACAGGGCTGGCATTGGTTTCTTACTTCACAATCACTGCTCAGAGTAAAAATTGTGTTATTTACCTGCAAACTTACGCTTTACTGTATTTTGATGTTTTACAAAACTGACAGCAGGGGGCAGTAAGAACCTTCATAATGCACTTACTAGGATGTTCTGTTGTCTGCGTTCACATGTTTTCCATAGCAATTTGATTGTTTCTTTCAGATTCTAGTTCAGCTTTTTAAAAACCTATCAATTTCATGGCAAATAATCAGTGAGAGATATGTCCATATGTGAGTCAAAGCAGTGCTGCTGGTTTTCAAACTGTTGGGTTCAATTTACGCCCCAAATAGCACATAACATTTCAAAACTGATCAAAATCCCTTTTAGCACCAAAGACTCAATCAAATGAGCAGGCCATGATTCTATGTTAAGTAACCCTACCTGAACATCAAAATCACACCTGGGATTCTTGGAATGGGGGGTTTCTGTGTTTAGACGTTAATTTCGTTAGTAGAATAGTATTATTAACAATTTTCTCATGTCATCCCCAAGTGTACCAAAACCAATGACCAATGTTCATTAGACATGGCAAATTGTCTCCTCCTGCAATCATTAAACCTTTGGTAAAATGCTTTGTTGTCCATTTGTTGGTGAACTGTATCATTTAGGGTTTATTTTTTTGTTTGTTTCCTTTTGCTTTCAGAAGAAGAGTGTAAATGCACAGTGAGGTCGGGTGTTTTGTATAATTCCTGTCCTAGGGATCTTGGTCATCTTAATGGCGAACTTGGAAGCACACCAAACTCCAAGCTCATTAAACTTTATAGACCACCTGAGTCATGTGAGGGTCTTCATGGAAAACCTTCTGTGAAGTCGATTGTGTGTAAGGAAGAAAACCTTTAGTAAAAAGTGCTCACACTAGGGCATTGGAACCTGACTCAGCCTGCATCAGTCTGGGGACACTGACCTATAGATTAATAAGACCTAGTGAGTTGGCAGGGTACCTTCACAGGATCCAGAAGTAGTTGATTGTCTTGGGAAATGGAAGGGAGTGTCAAGGAATCTGAAGCAATCAATGGGCAAAAGCCCAAAAGAGACTGATTGATGAATGCGCAGACACAACGTACTGAGTAGTTGGCAGCTATCCTGGGAAGGGACAGGGTGTGGCTGGGTGGCAGACCAGTGGAAAGAATGTACCTTTGGCAAGTACGGCAGCAGGTGCCAGGATCCAGAGGTCATGACTAGAGCACAGTAAGAAACTTGAATTTTCAATAGCATGAGTATGAGTAAGCTAACAGCAAGACCACAGCTCCAGAAGGAAACGAGAGGAATGCAAGGAAAAGATATTCAGTTCTGAATAGATGGGGCAGAAATTTAGTGCTGCATTTGTGCTGGGGTCAGAATAAAATAAACAGCTTGCTCCAGTTGCATAGCTGGGCTACAAATCTGCTGGTTAGAGATCCTTAAATATGCCTAAATAGAGACTGCTTCAAAATCCAGGACCAGAAGTGACAGTATGAGCTTTGATCCCAGAACTGGGAAGCAGAAGCAAGTGGATCTCTTCTGAGTTCAAAGCTAGACTGACCTAAATAGTGAGTTTCAAGCCAGTCAGGGTGAAACTCTGTATTAACATATAAAACAGAAGGAAAACCCAGAGCATTATCAGACAAATAAATTAGAAAAAGTAGTCCCAGCTAAGAGGAGGAGTGAGTGGAACAGCAAAGAGAAGCCAGGCTACTCATTTCAAGGTGTTCCTACTTTTAACACAAACACCCTCCCATTGCCACAAATGCCACAAATACGATGTGAAGGTGATGCTCTTTCCCGCCCTTATTCTTACATATTCAGAAAAATCTCTACAAGTAAAGAGAAGATATGGTTAGCAGGTATGTAAATTATTTGTTAGCAATTTTAATTTTAAAAATTTAGAGATTTCTTGTCATTTATTTATCTGTATATGTGCTTAAGATAATGCATCAAACCATTAAAAAATGGTTAATTAGTCACAGAACCTGGAATGTAAGTCAGGTTTTCTTATTCATTTATCCTGTGATCTGGGTTCATAAGAAGGTCTCACCACTGAATGACTGTTTCTGGTTCCCTGACAACCTCCAGAAAGAGAAGTGAGGGGAATTATCATGCTTGGAAATTGAGGCATGGAGGAAATCGTATTCCAAATATTTTCAAAAAATGTGTGATATTTCTAGAATATTTTCTACATAAAGAAACCCACAATTCTTCACAATTGTGGCTCTTTTTCTTCAAAACATTAACAGTCATTAGTCAACATAAACTTTAAAAGAGTGTGCATATTCTTCACTTAACAGAGACACCATGATCACAGCAACTCTCACATTTAATTGGGGTGGTTTACCGTTTCAGAGGTTCAGTCCATTATCATCATGGTGGGACGCATGGGGGCATGCCATCAGACATGGTGCTGGAGAAGGAGCTGAGAGTTCTGCATTTTGATCCCCAGTCAGTAGAAAGAATCTGTGTCCACACTAGGCATAGTTTAAGCATAGGAAACCTCAAAGCCCAAAGTGACACACTTGTTCCAACAAGGCCATACCTACTCAAACAAAGTCACACCTCCTAATATTGGCAATCCCTGTGAGCTTAAAGAGACCAAATACATTCAAACTGCCACAAACACTTACCTACTACAGTAAAAAGTGATCCAGCACACGTTTTAGTATTCCAGATGTAGTTCCTCATAACTAATGCCTTAATAGGTCATCCATTTTTAGCCTTGTAAAAAAATTTTAATGTATGTAGTAGCGATTAATTAAATTTTTTTTCTTTCTGTAATTAAAACTCAGCACCTCCAGTGCCTCCAGTAATTAACATGAGCAAGACCTTACTCCTCAACAAAAGCCAAAACAAGATTACCATATGAAATCCATGCAACAATGTCTGTATGGGGTAAAAGCCCATTTGTGATGGTGTGGGAAAATATGGCAATAACACCATTAGCCAGTAGGTTTTAAGTGTGAAGATACAGATGGAAACAGTAATATACCACTGGATAAACAAAATGAGAACAATCGGCAATTACATTTGTTGTTACTACAACAGGAAACATAGTTACGAATAATGGGGAGCACAATTTTGAGATGCAGAAATGTAGGCTTCTCTCTGCTTTTCCCATACACAGTTTCTGTGCCCAAACGATTAAAGGTGCATGGCCTGCTTGATGTTTTGTCCTCTCTCCTATCCCTCTGTCCAATACCTGCCCACTTGGAGTTCTCCCTTTAAAATGTTGGCTAAAATCTCTATGGAGTTTAAGCAGGGGTCCATGACTGATGAGACCATTGAGTCTTTTGCTTTAGACCTTCAGAATACAGGAGAGCTTGGTACTGCTGACCCAGGAGGTAATGCCCCTGTTTTCTGGAACTGCTGTTACTGCCTCTTCTCCTTTTCTGGGTCTTACTTTCTCTTCTTGGGCGACACAGGGGATGTGACAAACACATTCATGATATCCATGATGAGGCTGCTATCCCAGTAAACCAAGAAGCAAGCTTCAGGGCCTGCAAGATGGCTCAGCAGGCAAAGGCATTTAACGTCAGGATGAATGGGATCTAAAGTCATTCCAAGGACACCAGTGGTAGCAGGAGAGAACCAGGAGCTATAGTTCACCCTTTGGCCGTCACATGCACACTGTGGTACATACATAGATGCTCAGGCATGCGTATTCACGTACGCACACAGCTCTAGATAGATAATGATGATGATGAGAAGAAGATAGAAAGATGAGAGATAGGTGATAGATAGACAGATGATAGACAGATAGATAAATTATACATGATAGATGACTATAAAACATTTAAATAAATAAATGACCAAGTTCTATGTCAAGAATTTTTGTTGGCAAGAACTGTCATGGGTATCAGTCATAAATAGCAGGGGTCAAATTGGGTGTTGTCATCAATTTATCACTCAGTGGCAAAGTTTC